TCGACTAATTATAAGCCATTTTTAATAAAACAGCAATAAATATATAAAACTATATCCAAATTATTATATAACACAGTATTTAATTCACGCTTTATTTGTTTAAAAATATTAAATTGTTTAATCATTTGATTTGTATTTTTACAATTGGTTTTCAATATTACACGTGTAGTCCTTTTTGTTAGCGTTATACCACTCGCATCTATTACTGGTTGTGTCCCATATTGTGTCGGGTGGACAGGTCTGTAACACAGGCATCCCGTGAACGCACCAGTAATATAGCTTACAGTTAGAGTGGGCCACAAACTGAACGCCTTCTTCCGCGCATTTGTCAGTGACAGACGTCGGCGCCGCTTCTGTCGATGGCTTTGGCCTTTCAGTGGATGTGTTAATTGTACTACTCATAGGAGTGGTGTTACTCGTAGTGCTGGCAGTAGTGCTCGGAGTAGTGCTCGGAGTGGTGTTTGGAGTTGTGCTACCAGTGATGGATACAACCGCTGGTTTGTTTGGTATGGGTTTGACAGCTGTGGTCACGTTTGGTGTAATGGACACAACCGATGGCTTTGTTGGTTTGGGTTTGACAGTTGTCGTCACAGTTGGTGTATCGGAGACTACAGATGGTTTGGTTACCTTAGCTTTCTTTGTTGTGGTGGTCGGCCACCACTGATTGCCCGGTTTAGCCGTTGTGGTCAGTTTGGACGGATCGGGAACTAACACTTGATAGCCTTTTAGTTTATCGTTCATAACATTAAGCAACGCATTCTTCTTTCCGCCGCAAACACCCGTGAAATCATCCAAATCTATGGCCCAAATCATTCCTCCGCCATAGCCTTCGCTTTTAATAAAATCCATTTTAATGCCAATACTATTCTCGTCTTCATAACCAGTCCATTGGGTGTCCCGATAAGCGTACGGACACTTCCCGATGTCATCAAACTCTTTGGTCCATTTGCCAGCATTTGTTTCCACACATATCTATAAGTTATAATGGATTTAACAAAAATGTTACAACTCTTGCAATGCTCTAATTGTTATGATGGCTAATCTTCGTCTATTGCTTTCTATTTTTTAAAACATATTTTTAAAACTATTATTTCAGTTGTAATGAACTTAAACTAGATCTGGAATACAGCTATCAAATGATATATTTAATTAAAAAGTTTATATTAAAGTTATAGTAACCTCATAATAAGCCAAAAAGCCTGATGCATTAGTATATAGTCCGGGTTCTCCGCCTCCATTATTAGAATTCCACCTCTGAATGGGTGCTCTGAGTCCGTGATTGTCTTTACCGCCCAACGTATAGGTCCGGCCATAGAAGGGAACGCCAACAATCAGTTTATGTTTCGGGGCTCCCATTGTGTGCCATAAGTTTGTGCCGTCATTCTTACAAATGATAATTGTTCATTAGTTTCTATTTATAACTTATGTCCATAACATTGCTTATAATGAAAGAGTTATTTACCACATTGAGCTTCTCATAAGCCCATTCATCGATGGGTCGCTTGTATAGCGGTGAGTGGACGTCCGCAAAGCCTGTCCAACTGCCCCGAAGATCATATGTCATCAAATGGATTTGATCCAACAATCTATTAATACATGGGGTCAATAATGTATGCTATGGACCATAGCCTATGGTATCCCGTTATGCGTAACTAATAAATATAAGTTGTAACAAAAATAATGATCACATACTGTGCCAACTCGTATACTTCATAGCCTTCCTGTAGCCGAAACTTAGCGACGGGAACGGCTGCCGTCAACAGTAATTTACGGCTTTGTTTATCAAACTCTTCTCTTAATTCCTTTGAAATTAAATAATTGTTTCAAAAGTTGTTAATTAGTTGTTACTTATGAAAAAAGTTTACAAACCTTTACGAGTTCTAAGAAGTTTTGTTTGTCAGAATAGGAACCCTGTCTATCACCGGCTCCGGGATATTCCCAGTCGAGATCAAAGCCATCGTAATTATATTTGTTAAGCCAATCGACCACTTGTTGAATGAATCGCTCCCTTTTGTTAGGATCGGCAACCATTTCCGAGTACTGTTTGCCCCCTTCAGCCCATCCGCCAATCGCTATCATTATCTTAAGTTTGGGGTAATTTTTGCGAAGACCGACAAACCGTTCGAATCCCTTCTTTTCGATGTCATAAATGGGATCAATGTTTCTTAATTCGTATGTCTTATTATCCAAACCAATAAAAGAGTAGATTAAATGAGTGCAAAGGTTTGCCGGAATATCTTCAATATCGTAAGCCATAGGTTTCTCTCGATATACAGCCCAAGCGCTGTAATAGCAGACAATTTTCGGGTCCGTAAACGTGTCTTCAGTTTTAATGAAATTGACATTTGTTTGAATAAACAGGAAAAATAAAACATTGAATATTTTGTACATTTTTCTCATATATTGCTGTCT